CCCAGAGCCAGAGCAGATGGAGCCATTTCCCTTGAGAGCTCCAGTAGGATGGAGAGGATGCAGTCTGAGTCAGAATCATAGGATGTCAGCGCTGGAAGGAGCAGGCAGGTCAGCTGGTTCAACTTCTACCTTGTGGCCATGGAGCCGGTATCCCCTACCCAATGTTCCCTTACTACCTCCCTACCCCCACACCCCAAGGACTGAGGAAACTCTGTGCTGGGAGGGGGGAATTTAGCCAGCTGCCTCAGTTTCTCTCAGAGGCTCTGCCTTTTTGGTAATTCTTTTGAGGTGCTTTTTGTTTTTGTTTTTTTGTTCTAGTGGGAAGGGGCAGAGGGAAAGCAGGTAAGATTTTCTTCCCCTTGAGTACTCTCCTGTACTTACTGCCTTGACCTTGATCTGAGGGCTAGGTGTATTTTCCCTGTCTTTAGTCTGAAGGGATTCTCTAAAGATATCCTCCTGATCCTATTCTACCCTACTGGGGCTCAGCCCTGTGACCACTAGCTCTCTGTCTCTGTGTCTCTCTGTCTCTCTCTGTATGTGTTGCAAACTAGAACTTGTCTCAAGGAATGCCACTCCCCTGCCCTTGAACAAGCACACATAATGAGTCTGAATTAGAAGCCAGTTCCCAGGATTCCCAGCTCAGAGCTCTTCTCCATACTGTGCTAGGTGGCAGCTAGGTGGTAAATAGAGTCAGGAAGATGTTTACTAGCTGTGTGACTCCGGACAAGTCATATAACCCCTGTTTGCCTCAGTTTTCTCATCCATAAAATGGGGAAAAATAACATCTACTTCCCTGGGCTGTTGTAAGGCTCAGAGGAGATAAATGGGAAATGCTTTGCAAACCTTAACGTGTGATATAAATGTTAATAGCTGCGCCACTGGTGATAACGAAGTTTAAATACTACACCCTAGTACTGAAGGCTGTTGATGCTGACTCTAGATCTGGGAGAACTCACATAGTAAGAAGAAAAAACACTTGAAAAATGGCTTCGGTCTCCTCAAAATCATCCTGGGTAAAGCTCTTTGCTGCAGGGTGCTGAATGACCAGCTGATCTGATAACAGTCACTTCGGCCATTAAGCACACGTCAGCTTCAGGGTCAGTTTCCTTGGCTGACTGAGCTTACCACACAGGTTCTGACTGTGGCTCTGGCTCTGTGAATGAATGGGGCTATCACTGAAGGAAGGCTTCAGGGCAAGCCGGGATCCCAGGCTAAAAGGCTGTCTGGATCCTAGGTGGGAAAGGACAAAGAAGATGATGAGGAACCAGACCCAGAGCTCATCGCTAGTCAGGTCTAATGCCTATGAGGAGTATATGTTCAGGGGTAGCGGTGGGATATGGTGGGAAAAGCCCTGGATTTGGAGTCAGAGTGAATCTCAGCTTTGCTGCCTACTAGTGATTACACCTCAGACAAGTTGTTTTAAGCTCTCTGGACCTCGGTTTCCCTCTTAGTCAAACAAGGGGTGAGGACTAGGTGTCTGCCAGTTCTAAACTCAATGAAACATAGAAGTCACAGACCGTAAGGACCAGAAGGGGATCTAGAAGTCTTATTAGTCCAACTATCTCATTGTGAAAGAGAGGAAACTGAGGCCCGCACAGGGGAAGGAACTTTCCTGAGTCATATAGCAATTTAGAGGCAGAACCTGCATTAGATCCCAGATCTCTAGTCTAGATACCCAATTCAGTGATTTTTCTATTTCATTCAGCATTCCACAAGCCAGGTCAAAATTCTCTATGTACAGGGGCAGCTAGGTGGCACAGTGGCCCTGGAGTCAGGAGGACCTGAATTCATATCTGGCCTCAGACACTTTACATTTACTAGCTGTGTGACCCTGGGCAAGTCACTTAATCCTAAAACAAAAACAATTCTCTATGTAGGAGGACATGGCTAGGATTAGGGTCCAGCAAAGCTCTGGGCTGTCAGGAATTGTTTGCTGGGACATTTGCTATCTGACCACTCCGTTTCCCATAATTGTCTGCCTACACCTGTTCTTTTGCATGCGCTAAGAGCCAGCTGAGCAAACAGGCTGTGAGCAGTGCTGATGGGTCGGAAGGACAGGTTGCTGAGGGTCTGACAACAACACATGAAGATGTGTTGACCTCCACCTCACGGGATCAATTAATGTGTCAACCAGTAAAGATTTATTCAGCTCCTGATCTGGAGCAAGCAGACAGCAAGGAGTCTGAGTTTCATTTTGTGTGCATTATCAACAGTGGACTGTGATGCCTTCCCTCTCTCCTTGTCCTCTTCCTTGTCTTTGCTTTCAGCCCATCTCTTTCATGCTTGGTCCTTCCTAGTGCACAGGGGAAAGTCAAAACTGTCTCAGAGATGGGTCAAGGATGGTGGATTCCTAATGTCCCTGTTGCAAGCTGAAGAAGAGTTTCCAAGATAGAAAAATAAAACTAGGAATTTGAAAACCAAAATCAAAGCAGGGAAAAGATACATGGTTATTCAGATTGTGATGAACTGAATTTTCCCCTTGGACCTGAGAAAACCACGTGGGGTATGGTCTCTGTGAAAGGGAAGTGATTTTCATTAACAGGATCTAATTCAATCTGACAAAATTCTGTGGTGGGTGCTTCCAAGGCTGACGACACTCACCACCTAATAGAAAATGGAATTGTAAATGAAGTTTCCGTTTTGAAAGAATCCATCTCTGTCTACTGCTCGCTCATTTGGTTTGTATGACAAAGGACTTTGGCTTATGGAGAAGATCCCCATCACACATAGAGAGTTAGAGGGCTTATGTGCAGTGAGTAGGCTGGGGAAATGAGTCACCTCGTCATTCTTAACAGCCTAGGGAGAGCCAAATGAATGGTAACCGATCTGGGCCTTGGTAACCAGCATTGTTTACCAGAGGGGATGGCTTGATATTTTCCTAGCATCTCTTGTTCCTTCTCCTATAGGCTGCAAATGGATTGAAATATCTAAGGGTCTAATCATGAGCAAAGCTGGTTTGGTTGAAAACATGGTTTCTGCAGGTGTTCTGATGAGGCAGGTGAGGTAACTGTCTGTAGCACAATCTGGAATGGTAGACGGTGAGGTGGGGATAGAAGTCAGGGTCACAGGTAAAAGTAGGAGCAATAGCAGAAGGGATTGGGGATATGGTAAGCATCTTCAGGTATCTGATAGTTGCAGTTTTAAACTTTAATTGTTACTTAAGCTATAATTATTATAATAATAATGATATAATAGCCATTTAAGATATTAAGACTTCAAACTCCACTAAGACTTTGGGGATGACCCAAATATCTTGGGGAAGAGGGGTTTGAATTGTTCTGCTTGGCTGCAGAGGGTAGAACTAACCACTACCTAAAGGCAGACAGTTGGTACAGTAGATAAGAGCACTGGATTTGGAATCAGGAAGACCTGAATTCAAATCCTGCTTCAGGCACTTACTCAGCTGTATCACCCAGAGAGTCACTTCACCACTCTCAGACTGAGTTTTCTCATCTGTAAAATGGAGATAATCATAGTATCTATGTGCCAGGGTTGTTGTGAGGATTAAATAAGATATCATATGGAAAGCACTGAATAAATGCTATTTGTTGTTATTAATATCAACATTTTAAATTTAATTACTCTGTTGATAATGATAATGATAAGGAGAACTTGTATGAGGCAGATTTGGAGTCATTATAAGAAAAAACAAACTTCCTATTTACTACTACTACTACTACCACCACCACCACCACCACCACTTCTCCTTCTCCTCCTAGCTAAATAGTGCCTTCTATGTCAAGTGTTTTATAAATATTATCTCATTTGATCCTCACAACAACCTTGGGAGGCAATCCTATTAGTAACCTTATTTTACAGTTGAGGTAACTGGGGCAAATGGGTTAAGTGACTTGCCCAGGGTTACCCATCTACTAAGTATCTGA